TCTTGCCAAGCTTACATTAATGGTATATTCTGGGTTTTGATTTTCCTGGATTTCTTTCCAAAGGTTTTGCAGACCTAGAGTATTTTGTTCTGATCCATTCCTTAGTGAAATTATTTCTAGAGCATCTTAGCCCAATTTAGCAGTTCTAGATTTGATGGAGTAAAATCTCCACAATTCCATGGAACTGTGCAAAGTGGAACTTGTAGCACCCATAATATATCCAGAGGACCATAGATAGGGGGTAAGCATGCTCTGATCAAGAGGAAAATTATACTGAAAATAGAGAATTACAGAATGCACAGTAGGGAAGCATGAACTTTTAAGCATGCTTCTTTACAAATGTAAGATAGGAGAGTGACTATAAGAAGACTATACATTCATCAGACTGCAACATCTGTCAAGAAGCTAACAACTGAAGTTCCCTGTCAAGTGTAGAATTACTTGGTGGGGGGTTCTGATATGCTAGGGTATAATAGCTAAAATGGCACCATGACTATAGTATAGTATTGGTAAGAGCATGAAAAGTAGGTTTTCCATACATGGCTCCCTCCATATATGTGAGTGCTACAATTCCCAAAATTTGTTGGAAGGGTGCTGGCTAAGAACTATGTAGCTCCAGCTCCAAAACGTCTGAGGGACACTAGGTTGAAGAAGGCTAGAATACCTGGATTGGCAGTAAAGTCACACATTTCATGGTTCTTTTTTATCCAAGGGAAGGAAATGCAAGCCCTCCTTTGAAGGCTGAAGAAGAACAGCAAAGAGAAGAAGATGAAGATGGTCCTAACAAATATGACCCACAGGAGGAAGGAATTAAGAAACCCTTCATCACCAAGGTCAGCATGATGTTCTACCCTGGGAGAGGAAGCAAAAGTGAGGATACCTTCTCAACTGTTTCCTCACATTCCAAAATCTTTAAATTGAGGTAAGCATTGTCCACATACTGATTCTTTCAGAGCATTCATAGCACTAATCAGTGATGTGTTTCTAATCAGTAATGTTGAAAAGCAGGGATCTTTTGTTATCAGTAAGCTTATCTTATCAGTGTGGGTTCACCCATTGCACTAAGCTGTGGTTTGTTTTAGTTATACTTTGTTGAATAACCACAGTTGGATAACATTATATTGCACTCAGCCAGAAACTGGTTTACAAGCTACAGAGACTGGGTTCACACAATAACCCATGCTCCAGACTAAACCTTGTTATAGCTTAGTGTATGTAATAAGCTTTAGCTTTGTCTGCTACAGAAACCTGTTCCTTCTGGTGGGTAAAAAAAAAGTCATTCGAATTGCTGCTAAATGTTAGTTTTTATTTTTTGGTTTGTATAAAATTTATAGGATCTCACCTGTCAGGTTTAAAAAAAAAACATATTCCTATGCTTTTTTGCATAAAAGGAGGAATTTATAGGACTATATGATGAGGTACATTTGCAAATATAGCTCTTCTGTGCAATGATTTAAAGGAACAGAAGCGCTGTCCTCATTTATACTTTTCCACCCTAATGAAAGTGGACAACAACTGACTGGCCCAAGCTTGCTCTTAGAAGCTTAATTTCTTTCCTTTGTAGAGGGTTAAGTTGAGAAAGACGTCTGTTCTTCTGAAGGATGTTTGCACCAGAATAGGGCTGGCAAAACTTCAGATGACCGGCAAAGGGATCAATGCTTCTGTATTGCTCTTCAGCCATCTAGAGGCTGCCCAGATTTTTGCAGCCTAGATCTGGTTATCCTAGGGAAAAAGGCTAATTCTTTCCTTTTTAATTCCTCCCCCCTCCCCCTTTCTGTTGATCCAGCAGCCAAAGTTGCATGTCTTCTCTTCCCTGCTCATTCTTTTTCCCCATGGCAACCAAAATATATCAAGAGAAAACAAAATCACTACATGGGTGATTGATGAGATGATGTGGAAGGAATGGGAGACAGGTGGAGACAGGTAGAGGAAGTAGGGAGCCTTTGAGGAGCCCAGAAACTATAGAACTGCTGTTTGCTGGAGCCCCAAAGGCTGACCCTGGTGGGAGGTGGGAGGAAAGAGAAAGAGCAGGCTGTTGAAGAGAGCTAAGAATAGCAGGCGAGCTATAATTAATCCAACATATGGGAGACCAGGGAGGAATGTCTTGATGCACGTACACGAACATACACAGAGAAGATATGGATATATACACACACAGACGCACACACACAAGTTGGTTGGGAAGAGATATGACCAACCATAAGAGTTCACACATTCATACCAACATGGAATTAGGGGTGCAGACCCCAAAATAAGCTAAGCCAATTAGCCTGCTTAATGCTCTGCCAACTTATCCAGTCCTGCCTGCCTTTTACCTAAGATCACAAGCTAATTCTATCATATAAACTTGAAATAACTTAAAATTGCAGCTACTTTGGGTTTGCATGATTCAGATAGCTTTAGACAAATCTTTGGCTCAGTTAAGAGGCTACACCAGACAGATGTGGGAATGTGTGTACTCTTGCTAACCAGGCTGGTTGATGAGTGTGTTGTGTGAGTACAGGTTTATATCCAGCTTCCTGCTTAACAAAAGCCTTGTTTGGCTTTTGAGGAGCCTGTTCCGTCAGAGATGATCTCTCAGGAGCATTGCCACAGTAGCTGTGTGGGGCCTGAAGCCAGTGGTTGTCTGGGTCAGGCCAGCTCTTTTCTCCTTGCAAGGGCTCCTCCTGTGTGGAACTGGTAGTTGCAAAGCGAAAGACAGGTTGCTCTTGGAACTGTAATTGTAGGGGACTGGCAGCACCTGGTGACCACAGCTGATCCCGAAAAGGGAGGAGGGGAGAGCAGGATCAGATCTGATTAGTACTGGGATAGGAGGCCACCAGGATATCCCAAGGCTGTCATCTAGGCTTGGGAATAAAAAAATCCCATGAAAAGGCAATAGCAAGCCATTTCTGTACTGTTGCCAAAAAAATTGGCAGGAAATCTTTACTTTTTTGCCTCGAGATTATTGCTATTTTAAGCTGCAGTGTTTGGTTTAATTACATTTTAAGCTGCAGTGTTTGGTTTAATTATGTTTTATAGGTCATTCTGGGAAAACAATTGTTGCGGGGGTATTTATTTTTTCAACACATCAAATAAATGTTTGCCTCTGAGAGGTAGACTGCTGTTTTGCTTTCATTGGGAACACTGAGACCAAGTTATATGGTTACTTCTTTCTTGCATTTACTGTATAGCCTCTCTTTCCCCAAAGAAGCTCAAGGCAGGGTACTTTGGCTCACTTCTTTTATTCTCACAACAAACCTGTAAGGTGGGTTGGGCTGGAGAAAGTGAGTGTCTTAAAGTCACCAAATGAGTTTGGTGGCCTTATGGGGACTCGGTCCTTAGCTTCAGCTCTCTGAAAAGTACAGCAATTCTGTCCATGACTGCAGTATTGAAAATGTCCTGGGGAACAACTGAATCTTAGTAAAGCTGGATGGTTCAGGGCAAGCAAATTTATTAAGAAGGTAAAATACTGTCCCATGGAAAAAGAAAGAAAATGCAGTATGACAAACCAGCCAGTTAGTTTATCAAAAATGTCCTGGATTGTCTGTTTTCAGGTACATGCAGGTGGACACTGTTTCTGTATCTGCCTATTTTATGACCATTTCCCTGCCAACACAGAGATATAACAGGGCTATAGAGAACTAAGAGCTGCCTTGGGAACTTTCCACACGATACTAGGGAACTATACCTGAGTTCTCATAGCAGTAATAAACTTGTCTTTTTGGCTGGTTGATTTCAGATGGCAGGTGGGAAACTAGCATAACTGAATATTTCTCTCCCCCCCCCCCCGTATGTATGAAAGGCCTGCAAAAAAAGCTCCCTCAATAGATGAAGATAAAACAGGCTAGAATTCTCTCTACCATCTAATTTCCATTGCAGAAAAGTATCCATTTGCCACACCCTCAAACATTCTGGACTAGAGATGATGTAGAGGAAATAGTGTTTCTCTAGAAATGACCATTGGCTCCAGGCAATAAAATGTCATTTGATAAAATTGGTCATAAATATTTTAAAGTTGATTGAAAAAGGAGCACATATGCTGGAGATGACAATGTCCTGGATTTGTGGTATAATAAATCCTCCCTGGGGCATCAAGAGGTTTTGAATTAGCCTTGCCACTAGCATCCACTGAGATGCACGCCTGTCTGCAAGGAGAACATGAGGGCTTACAAACCAGGAGTAATATTCCTTCCTTCATGCTACTTCCAATTATTTGATGTAACAATGCCCCTATAATATATCTTTATCCTGTCTGGTGATTAGCTAACCTGTTCCTTAAGCCAAAGAGCTCCTCCTTCAAGGTAGCAGCACGACAACCATTGGGGTTTATTTCCTTGGCAGGGAATCCAGTTCTCTGCTGCAGGATTCCAAAGCACAGGAGAACCCTCGATCCCTGCTCCTTTTGCTCCATCAGAAGGATCTCGAAATCCAAGGGCTGAAAAGTGCTGCCCAGAAGGATCCAGCTGACCGACTGAGTTACATTTTAAGGGAACTTGTGAAGGCAAAGAATACAGGACTATGGAAGAGGTGAGTTCCAGAAGGCTGAGCAAACCTGCAGTTTGTCCAGCCCAAAGCACAGACAAGTATGAAAACTTTTCTTGCAGAATTACAGTTGACCAAGAAGCCGCAAGGCTGTCATTATCAGGGCAGTAGTGATGGGGTGGGAATTACAGAGTGGTGATGATGTGTGGCTGGGCCCAGGGGAAGTGACATTGTGGCATAAATATAGCGTGGGTTGTTAATACGTATCTGTCCCATAGGTCAACAGGAGGAAGCAGGGCTGGCTTCTGTGCCTTGTGAACTTTCTTCCCACACTTTTTCTATGGGTGTGATGGGTGAAAGGTTGCATGAAGCTCCCTAACCTGAGGGAAGCTCATGTTCTATTACCATGTTCTGCAAAGCAGAATAATTCCTCTTTCCCAGCTATTGGGCAACCTGTTCCTGTCTGGGGGAATCCATCGGGTCCCAGCATTACCCTGACAGCAGCACCATTGATAGGAGGAGGAGGTACCAGCCAGACTCTTCCTCTGTGGCCTGGATTCTCATGTTTCCCAGCAACTGGGGAGAAGCAGTTGTCTCAGAGCGTGCACCTCACGTGGCAAGCGTAATGTGAAAAGAAGCTCTGAACGGAGTGAGTAGTTGAGCTGCCTCATTTGGAAAGGAGAGGGGAGGGGAAAGCATGCAGGTTAAGGTAGCCTATTGGAAGGGAAGGTTTTGATCATTCTGTGCCTGAGTTTTCTATATCCAGGAAGAGAGGAGGCCGGTGGGCATTAAGGGAGGTATCCAGGGGCATATCAATGCTTATATGGCTTGCCTCTGGCCTGTCTGGTTGTAATTTTGCTTCACATAGTACCCATCTAGATATTTAGGAAAAAAACTTTCGCAGGGGCAATAGCTTCTTCACAGCTGGTCACTAACAACTGATATTAGACACATGCTGGCTGGGAAATTGAGTATATCTGGAGGACATATTTGGAGAAGGCTGTACTAGGTGAATCAGAGGAATGACTTCCAGAGACAAATCCTTCATTGAAATCCCTAATCCCTACTCAGTGGGAGTAATTTGATCCAGAAAGTTTGTCCAGCTCAAAGCACAGACAAATATGACCCATTTCCTATGATATTGATAAATATTTGACTTACATATAATAATGGGTGATAAACATTGTTATGTTTCTGCTACAGAAAAAATTCTTCACTAGCTTTCCTATGGCTGTCATTTCATATGGCTGTAAATAAATGCACTAGTTGCAGGAAAAATCCCATTTCATTTACATATATATATATAATGTAGGAGTACTCGGGGCTGTGACTCCTAAGCTGGGCGAGTGGCTCCAACAGATTCCAGGAACAACATCTGAGCTCTCTGCCCAGAAAAGTGCAGTGCTAGGAACAGCTAAGATACCGTGCAGAACCCTCAAACTCCCAGGCCTCCGTAGACACATACCACCCATAGGAGTGAGAGGGGATTTTTTAAATGGGAGATCTATCTATCTATCTATCTATCTATCTATCTATCTATCTATCTATCTATCTATCT